ATGCCGGATCGCTGCCCATCCGACTAGCCTCTCCCCACCCTGCGGCCTTAGCACGAGAACCGGCAAGTCCTGGGTCCTCCTTCCCAAAAGAAGTAGGCGCCCGGGGGAAAGCGGTCTAGGGGGCGGCACGAGTTATTGGTCCCTGAGGGAGAGAGAGACCCTTGAAAAGAAAGAAGCTTCCACCTGGGGAAGAGGCTCTTAAGGGAACGTTGAGCAAAATCTCCCCCACCCGAATGCTGCGCCCGCGCTGACCCTCGATGGTCTGGATGGAGTCTGCTCCGGCCCCCCTGCTTCCCCTCCGCTAGAAGGACCGGGAGCATGCAGCTCTTCTCCACTGTTGGCCTGCCCTGCTCTTATCAGGCCGTTAAAGAGGGAATGGAAGACCCGGCCTCCCCCCACCCCCTGGATGGCGCTGGTCCATCTCCCTTCTCTCAATTGGTCCAGTCCGGACTGAGGACTAGGGAGGCGAGGGTTTTCATGGCCCTGCTCTCCTTCCAGCAAAAGCCCGACTTCAGCTGAGCCGGACTGAAGCGGGGCAGGTGTGTGTGTGCAGCAGTCCTAGTTCTGGGGTCCTTGTTGTTCTTAGTTGCGAAGTTGTGTCCGATCCGTCGGGACCCCAGGACAATGTTGTTCCAGGTCTTCCTGTCCTCTACCATCCTCTGGAGTCCATTTAAGCTCATGCCGACTGCTTCCATAACTCCATCCTGCCACCTCATTCTCTGTTGTCCCCTTCCTTCTTCTTTTGCCCACAATTGTTCCCAGCATGAGGCTCTTCTCCAGTGAGTCCTTCCTTCTCATTAGGTGGCCAAAGTACTTGAGTTTCATCTTCAGGGTCTGCCCTTCCAAAGAGCAGTCAGGGTTGATCTCCTCTAGGACTGACTGGTTTAGTTCAAGCTTAGAGGGACCAATTTTTCTGTCTATCCTAAGCCCCAACGCTCCAAATACGGGAGCTGCTCTCCCTTCTACGCGGCTCAGAGATTTAGCCTGCGTCTCTTTCGGTAAGCGGCAGGGTGTCCTCGAGAAACAGCAGCGGGGAAGGCGACGTGGGGACACAATGCTTTACCAGCGCCGGCCAGGCCGGGTAAGGTCATCAACCCTGACCCTGGGCGAGCCGGATTGCTCCAGCTAAGAGGAGTCTGGCCTAAGGCTTCCTGGGCGCACCGTCAAAGTTGAACGCACCGGCAAAGTCGTGCGCCCCGAACGAGGAAGCGCTTGTGAGCTTCGAGAGTGCGAGAGTGTGTGTGTGTTTCCGAGGCTGATGCGCAGAATTGGTACCGCACCTTCCCATTTGGCGTTCAAGGAGGCTAATCCTAAATACAAATATTTTTTTAAAATAAATAAAGGGACTGATTACTATGTTGATGATGATGAACGTAAAGGAAAATGCAGCCTTTCCAAAGCCTTCCTCCTCGGGGAAACTTAAGTCGCCTCACGGAGTGGGCCCAGTGGCGGATTAAGGCTCACTGGGTGCCCTAAGCACTGACAAATCTTGGTGCCCCCCCTCCTTTGTAGATACTGTACAAATCTTCATTGTTTTTTTCTTTCTTTCTCAACTATACGGTGCCCCCTTTGGGCCTAGTGCCCTAAGCACGTGCTTAGTCTGCTTAATGGTTAATACACCACTGAGCGGGCCTTTTCGGGACAGCCGGCTTTCTTCCCGCTCTTCCGCAGAGGAAGAGAAAGGCGGCAAAGCCTGCGGGGCAGGACAGGGCAGGCCCCCTCCGGAGGCTGCTTCGGGGCGGGGACGAGGGCAAAAGTGAGAGGAGCTGGTCGTAGAGGCTCCGGCCAGTCCCCCCGTCACTCCACCCGCCGGACTCCCCGATCGAAGGCCGGGAGAGAAAAGAGGCAGCCTCCTCCCCCCAGAATCTCTCTTGACATTCGGGCCACCGCCTTCGCCCGAGGCGTGTTTATCCAGCCTGACGGCGTGATGGATGGCGGAACGCGGAGTTTTCGTACACAAGAGGCCTCTCCGCCGACAGGAGACGCGGCCAAGGCCGGCGCTCCTGCCTTTTCCCTTCGGCGGCGCTTCGCGGAGCTCCATGCCTATATTAGGTGGGTCGGGCAAGCTGCCCCTCGCGGGCCGTGGCGCCCGGGCTGACCAATGAGAAGGCTCCCCAAGGGTAGGGTCCCTCCTCCTTCTCGGGGTCCCGCCTCCCTACCTGCCTCCAGACCACAAGCCAAGGCTGGGCGCTTGGCCGGCGCGGCGCCCTTCGGAAGCCGGCGCTCGCGGGGGGCACCGGCCGCAGCTCCGCTGCAGCGCCCACCATGTTCCCGAGCCCTGTGACCAGTACGCCTTTCTCCGTCAAGGATATCTTGAGTCTGGAGCATCCCAGCGGCCTGGCCTCCCTAGAGCTCTCGGCCTTGGGGTCGCCCTCCTCCTGCATGCTGGCCACCTTCAAGCAAGAGTCCTACCCGGCAGAGGACGCCCCTCTCGCCGAGGCCCCGGCCGGCCTGGCCAAAGGCAGCGGCAGCACTTTCCCCGGCCCTTTCTTCGCCAAGAGCTACGTGGAGATAGAACCGAGCAAGGAGCCGAAAGAGAGCAAAAAAGGTAACCCGGGGTGGGGGTATGTGGTGGTCAGCGCGGGTCCTCCGCCCGTGTTGCGGGGCCGAAGCATCCTCTGCCAAGCCGGATCCCTGGGACTCTTCCGAGGAGGGCATGTCCGGGGAGGTGTCTGCCGGCCAAGCAAGCATGTGGGTGGGAGCCCTGAACCCGCCTCTGCCTTCCTGGGCCGTTCCGTGTTGCCGCTCCGGACGAGAAGAGACTATAGGAAGGTTAGGAGGGAACAGTAACCCAACGTGGATAGCGGTCGACTTCTGGTGACTGGGAGGGATTTAAGTGAAGCATTGAAGAAGACGCCTTAGATTGTGTTCGGTCCTGTATAGTCTGTTTAGTGGGGTCATGGCAACCCCTCACCTCTCCCTTAGGGAAGATCCCCCCCTATATCAATAGCCTTAGACTCCTATGTGGGTGACTTGCTGTTTTTTTGACAAGTGACTGGTGACAACCCAAGAAGACACTTAATCCCACTGATGCGGGGAAAATAATAATTAATTAGGACAGTACCTAATACTACCATAGCTCTTGAAAATGACTTTCATCTCGCTCCTTTGTTGCAGTCCTTACAACAACCCTTGAGAGTAGTTCAGTCTTACCATATTTACTTGAAAGAAAGATTATCCGGAATTTGGAATGACTGCCCAAGAAAATTTTAGACAGAAAACGAAATGTCTTCTGACATTCTCTTAATCTCAATGGAACTAAGATAAACTCCTTCCCCCGTTTTAAAGGTTAATTATCCAATAAATTAGTCTTTCATTCCCTTGAAGTCAGAATATTTGGAGACAAAATGTCTTCCCTTAAATTACCTTATCGAGTCCTTCCTGAGTCCTTGTTCATAAATTCTGATCCTACTACAACAACATCTACTCAGCTACAATGGGATGGACATTCAAAGATGTGTAGGCAAAGCTCAAGTATTTAAAACTACAGGGACACCTCACCACCTCCAGATCTCTTCATTTCATTTTAGGCAAGGCCCCCACAAATAGTTGAAGGTCTAATATGAATATTTTAAGCAACTGTGATTTTTCATTCTTCAAAATTCAAGGAAGGCTAGTTTTTGTTTTTATTAAGCATGAACCTATTTAAACAGCTGAGTTTAGTTATGATGTTACTGTTACTAAATGTTTACTGCTAAACTCTCCTTTCAGAGTAGGATATACAGTATACTTAGGGTTCACAATAGAATAAGACTGTTGAGAATATGCTCTATTTTCTAACCTGGGGAAAGTCCCATTGATCCCAATGGGGTTTGCTTCTGAATACACAGGAATGGGTTTGCAAATTGAACCACTGCCTTGCTTTGATCATGGTTCCCGCTTTGTTCTCTGGCCTCTAAAGACATTTTGAGTCTTTGGAGGCAGATTTTCTCTCCCCATTGCTACAATAAATACAAGAGAGAGAGAAAGAATTTTCATGAACTGGATTTTCCTGGAACAGATTCCTGGGCAAAATATGTTAAGTATCTCCACCTGAGATGGAGTGAAATCTTGAGGTCATCAAGCCAGGAGAAAGACAGTACATACAATGTTAAATTCTTTTGGAGCACTTCTTTTCTGGCATTAATCTTGCTCCCAAGGTTATTGCAGTCAAGTTGAACTTGGATCCCATTTTTTTGATCTCTTAAACTGCCATCTTCTACACACTCACTTGGGACCCCAACCTCTCTCCAAGTAAGTTGGGGAGAGAGAAACCAGTAGTATTCAAATGGAATGTACGGCAGTGGGTGTCAACCTCCCAGAATCACTAGGGATGTTGATTTAATCTCTATTGGAAAATGAATCAAGGATTCTTCCCATTGGACATTTCAGGGTGTTCAACCTTTCCAAATTGAGAATATTCAACCATCAGAGCATTGCCTTGTTCTGTTGGCAGGAGATAATTTGTTCAGGAGGAATTAGAGCTGGTCCGTATCTTTCGATGATGGCCCCAAACACTTAGCTAGAATGCCCCTTTTCAGTGACCCTTAAACAAATCAACTGAATTGTCTATGAACTTTTAATTAACAATCTCCTCTACCATGGAGTACAGTAGAAAAAAGACTACATGACATTCAGGGTCCTCAGACCACACTCATCTATTTCCAGTTTAAGGTAGTTACCAACTTTCTCTTCACTGATTTACTTGCAGTCTGCATTGAAACAGCACCCATTGAGCTGATAGATGATGAAAGGAATATTCCTGTTCAGGTGACCTATCTCTTGGCTGGAAGGAAGGAAATCCTTAATTCCTTCACTCTCATTTCATTTCTCAGGAAGGAATCAGAATGCAATTAATGGTGTGGCTTTGCTTCTGAAAAACACCCAGCATCTTGACTTTGTATATTTATCCGGATATAAGCCCTAGGCTTTAGCAAAAATAAACCTATGTGGGTCCCATTATACATATATTTTAAACTACAGAAATTAACAAAACAGGAAAAAACCCATGATGGGCTTATATACAATTAAAAATAATTTAATATTTAGTAGTCCTTTATTTGCATGGTTTTCAAACCATTTTATTCTCAAGTAAATGTTCACAAGACTGAGGATTGAAAGGTCCTTAGATCTACCCCCCCCCCCAATTATCTGTAATTTCATTTCATTTATATCTGAAGTGGAAAAAAGTTCTGGTAATTTCAGTTTCTTTTGGGCAGTATGCAAATTACAATCCATGCCTAAATCCAATTCACATATTGGACAAAGTGAGTTGGATTTTTTAATTTTAGCTAACTATTTGTTAGCTACAATTGGCTGGATACACACAGCATGGAGCAAAAGTATCCTTCAAGTAGAAATAATAATAGGGAAATGGAATCCTGGTCTTTTTCATTGACTAAATTATTTAATGGAGCTGGTTGAATTTGATAAGGTTTGTTACTTATAATCACAATAACAACTAATGGTTGTAGTTGCAAATAACTTTAGGCTTCTATGGTCCGGAAGGAATTACAAATATTTCAGTTCTCAGCCTTGCTTTGAAGATGGGATAAATCATTTTTCTCCCTTTTTTTTTTTTTGCTCAAATCATTTTTATTTGGTTGAATAAATCCTAGGGAGTTCTATATGGGTTGTTTCCAGAATTGAAAGGTTATTTTCCTGACCCACACAGGGCAGTTTCTGTGAGAGCAAACCAGCCAAAGTTAGGCACTTGAAACTCTCAGTTTTCTTCAGCTGGGAAAGTTAGAAATTATCTCTCACTTCATTTACTCTCTTACTTTGTTTGATCTGTGGCTCTCATATTAAATAGACCTCTTATCGGTAGGATTACATAGTGCAACTTCTATTGAACTTCCAAGGATGTTGGTACTTTCCAGGCACACATGATTCAATATTTCCGTGTTAATTGAATTGGCTCCAAAACACATCTAAGGGATACCTATAGCCAGCCAAAGGACGAATATGTGTGGGGGAAGGGTGGGGGAAGGGAGGTCTCCTTTCTGTTTTAACGAACCCTATCGACTCAAATCAGGCTAGCTTTATTGACTTATAATTGTCTTTGTAGCTGCAATCTTAGGGGAGGAATGTATGCCATTTATTTTGGAGTCGTACTGGAATAATTTAGACTTCCTTTTAAACATCTCTAGTTTCGAAAGCTCAGGGGTGACAGAACAGAACAAAAGCGATCAAAGCAAACGGAGAAATCGTCAGAGTTCCGTAAGGAAGGTTAGACTAGGAATGCTCAGTGATGGGTGGCGGCCACGGCGAGCCTGCGATGTAAGATTAGGGTCTCTTGGTGCCGATGATCATCCATCCAGAGAGCGCTAAATGCCATCAAACCAAAGCCTCACCGGGTTCGGCAGGGGACAAAAGCGGCCGCGGGCGGGCGAAGGTTGCTTCCTAAAGCTGCTGTCGCTTCCACCCTCTGATCGCCGGTTCGGTGTCTCTGTTTTTGCCTCCCCGCAGAGCTCTGCGTCCTCTCGAAGTCGCTGGAGCAGGAGAAGCGGGACGCCGAAGAGGCGGAGCGGCCCCGGCAGAGGAAGAGGCGGAAACCCCGCGTGCTTTTCTCGCAAGCGCAAGTCTACGAGCTGGAGCGCCGCTTCAAGCAGCAGAAATACCTCTCGGCACCGGAGAGGGACCACTTGGCTAACGTGCTGAAGCTTACCTCCACTCAGGTGAAGATCTGGTTCCAGAACCGCCGCTACAAGTGCAAGAGGCAAAGGCAGGATCAGAGCCTGGAGCTGGTGGGCAGCATCCCGCCGCCTCGCCGGATAGCCGTGCCGGTCCTGGTCCGCGACGGGAAGCCCTGCCTGGGAGACTCGTCCCCGTACAGCTCGCCCTACAACGTCAGCCTCAACCCCTACAGCTACAACTCCTACCCGGCCTACGGCAGCTACGGCAGTGGTGGTGGCGGCGGCGGCACCGGGGCATGCAACGCCAGCTATAGCTGCAGCTATCCGGCCGTGCAAAGCGTCCAGCCTTCGGCCGCCGCCAACTTCATGAACTTCAGCGTCGGGGACTTGAACCCGGTGCAGACGTCCATCCCGCAAGGGAACGGCGGCCTTTCCGCGTTACATGGCATCCGAGCCTGGTAGGGTCAGAGGGCCAGAGGCCTCCCGGGGATAGACACGGCTGCAGCCCGGCGCCTCCTTCGGAGAAGCGGCCCGCACGATTGTCCCGGACACCAGAAGCCGAGAGAGAGCGAGCGCCCTTTTCCGTGCTAGGTGGGCCAACTACCAGCTTTCCACGGGTCACTTCGGTTTCCGTAGAACCGAAGCCTCATGGAGGCCCGGGTTGTGGATAGATCGCACCTCGGTGCAAAGACAGGAGGTTGCCGGACCTGTGTCCCTTCGCTCCCGCTTCGAAGTTACGTCTACAAAGACTCCCGTAGCCGCAGAGCGCTTGGCGTTAAGAGGGAAAGAGTTTCATTTACCAACCCGCACCTCTTTCCCACTTTTAAAAATAAGACAGCTAAATCTGCCTATAAATCGCGAAGGACCTTTATCGCATCGACTTCCTTTTCTTTTCCATACCAGCAGAGAACATGGGCGCACCCCACTTCTTTTCACCGTTTCTTCAAAAGCCCCGATTGCCAATAGGTTTTTGCCTTGCGGGAACTATTCCTGGTAGGTTGAGTTTTCTTTGAAAGGCGGCCCTACTTGCTTTCAGATGCGGTGTGAAGCAGAGGGTCGGCCCACCCAGGAGAAGGCACAGGCTGTTGTGATCCCCGTAGAATTCTGCACTAAATCGGTTTGCTGAGAGTATGAAATGCACTGCCCGGCCGTGGAGTTGATATAGGTGACTTCTTTCGGGATGGTGGAGGGGATGTTGGTTTCTGTACCCCAACAAAAAAAGAACTGATGTCTTGTCATTAAAAAGAGTGGCTTGAATTTGGGCTGCTTTATGTGTTTCCTTGCGCTCATTTGCAAATCAGCTTGCTTTTAGTTGGACGGAAAGTGGGAGAAACCCTCGCTTCGGGAGATGCCGCGATGGAGGGACGATTCCCACGAGTCTACTATCCCACCCTCCAGTCCAAGGGTGGCTTCTTGTAACTCGCAAAGCCTGTAAAGCCCCGCTGAATTTCTTGGGATGCAATTACTCCTTTTGCTTAATGTAGATAGGTAGACCGCAAGGCCTCCCGCTGCTGGAATTTCCAAAGAATTTGCAATGAAATAGGGTCAAAACAGTAGTAGCACAGAGGCTTAAGCCCCGCGGGTGGCCGTGTGTCCTCTATCTGAAACTGCAGGCATAAAAGCATTAACTGCGTTAATGTAGAAGTAGGCCCTAAATATCAGTATGCAGAGAGACCTATTTGCATGGACGATGGCGCTGCTCCAAAGGCCTGTACACAAAAGGACTTTTAGTCCTATAGTGGCGTATATAAGCAGGGCCTTGGAATGGGGATTGCAATCCGATGCACTTTTTCTCGAAAATTATTCAGACTTTTATTAACCAACGGCTAGTTTAATGCAATCAGCACCTTAATCATCATAATATGCGGAGCACGGCCATCAAAAGCGAAACAATGGCCTCAACTGGCACATTTTGAGCGAAACCCCCAAAGCCCATAGGGCCGCCCTGACAGGCAAAAAGCCTCCCTCCCCGTGTTAGAGCACCAACAATGATGCTTAGATTATTAGTGATGAAATAACCCGGATGACACTATTCAGACGTGATCTACTCTTTGGGCTACTAACCCATTTTAATGTGTAGTAGTTTTAATGTTTGTAAGCCAACCCAGAGTCGTCTCTGGACAAGACGGGCGGCACATACATTTAATGAATAACCCACCCAGAAGATCAGGCCCTGCCTGGGGAGCGACGGGAGGGATGACGCTATTTCGAGGCGGCCTTTGCGAATCAGGACCCTTCCAAAAGAATCGAGATTTTTGCTCCTATCGCAGCATTTCCCATTAACCCACTCGTGTTCGCTGAGCATGCTGGGAGCTGCAGTCCCAAGACGACCGACGAGAAGCTAGCGAGGGAATGTCGCCTGCCCTTAAAGGATGCCCTGTTCTGTAATTTAAGGCAAGTCATCCCCCCCACCCCATGTCTCTCTTATTATCCGACGAGCCAAAGGAACTGATTGCTCCGCCCCTCTTCTTTTTAGAACAAGACAATAAAGTCAAATTTCTTGTAATCACACTCGCCTTCTGGGATTTGTCATATAGCCCTGAGATTTCCTGGTGGCATTTCATCCACGTTTTAGCCAGATCTGGTTGTGTTTGATTCCTGACAGCAGAAAAGCTGGCGAGCTGCTGTCCTCCTGTCAAGTAGCTTTCACCCTCCAGTAGTATCTTTATGAGGAAGTGGATGATGGGACAGGTAAGCCTTGGAGGGTACTGACTTTAGTGAAATTTGTATAATATTCTGAGGAAGCGGAACTGGGTGATCAATCGGCTTTTTTAAGGGTGGTCTCCTTGTACTGGTTGCCGGAGACTGACGGGGACAACCCCTTTCCTTAGAATACTAAGCAAACATTGCAACATTAACAGCCAAAAACTAAGATTGGCAGCTTTGATCCTACGACTCCGGAGTTCCTGCGGGAGACAGTCCCATCGGCTTCAAGGACCTTCCGCACCGCGGTACGCGGGGAAAAGGCGAAGCGGGGTTAGTCAAGCACGTTTAATCTTCCCAATGAAAGAGGATGGCCGCCACGAAGCGTACAAAGCAATGCCGGTCACCGCAGGCAAGCGCTGTCCCCACGCCCGAGCAGGACCGATGTACTAAGTCCTGGGAAGCGCCGCGCCTGAAATTCACGTCTGAAGCTCCGGCTCGCTTGCAACGAAGCGGTGCCACCGGCCGCACAGTTCTCGGAAAGTTCTCTCGAAATAGGACTCCACGAGAGGAACGGGACGCCTCCCCACAGTTGTGCGGGTGAGCCCCCAACTATCTCCTGTCCCGTCCGGCTTTGGCTTCAGGAGGCGGCTACAGCAGTCGAGATGGCGATGGGAGATTCTTGGCGGCTTTCTTTCCCGAGAAAAGCTCCAGGAAAATCCGAAAGAGGCTATGGTAGGAGCTGTCTTCCATATGCAGGTAGTCCTCGACCTACGACCACAACTGAACCCCAAATTTCTGTTGTTAAGTGAAACATTTGTTAAGTGACTTTTACCACCTTTCTTGCCAAAGTTGTTAAATGAATGACCGCAGTTAATAAGTTAATAACAGGATTGTTAAGTGAATCTGCCTTCCCCATTGACTTTGCTTGTCAGAATATGGCAAAAGGGGATCACATGATCTTGGGACAAAGCAACAGTCATAAGTATGAAACAGTTGCCAAGCGTCTGAATATTGATCACATGAAGGATCATGGGGGTGTTACATAGATCGTAAGTGTCAAAAATGGTCATAATTCACTTTTTTCAGTGAGTTTGTAGTCAAGGACTACCTGTTCTTGGAAGGCACTAAGTGGATTTTTTTAGAGGGAGGGGGGTAGGGGATATTTGGGTGGACCAGTTGAGCAGTAGCAAGGGGGAAGTTGCTACAGTCCAGTGGAGGGTCTCCCTTGGAGGGCAGCCCTCCCGATTCCCACCCAACTCCTTCTTGGCTGCGTGTCTCCATCCTTGTTTACTGATGGGTTCGATAGCAAGCAAGATCCCCTGTCTTCCTAATGGCGCTCTGAAGAGCCGACACAATGCGCCTCGGAGCCCCCCAGGATGTTTTGACTGCCTCGGATTGTTCTGTTTGTTGTTGATGTACTCTCTCGTTCCCATCCCTGACATCCGAGAAGGGGATTTGGTCATCAGCAACCCCAAGCTCAGGACTGCCATCCGGATTTTTTCTCTCTCTCACCGCTCCTCTTCCCCACCCCGCCATTCTAGCAAGTTTTATGAGATTGAGGCTGCAAAACAAGGAAAACACATTTAGATTGTTTTCAGTTTTGGGAAGTTTTCCCAAATTAAGCAATTTGCCCCAACTAGGCATTTCCCTGCTCTTCCTTATATTAAGGTGACCTTTTCTTTTTAAAAAGGAAGGAAGAAAGGAAGGAAAGATAAGATAAGATGGTAGAAGAAGTGAATTAAATCAGCCCTGGAATGGAGAAAGTGGGTAAAGTTATGTTCCCTCCAACCCGGAACAATCTTTTGAAGATAAACTTGGAGCAGGCAAAAGATCCTACTTATTCAAACAGCATATCTGGAGTGGAGTTCAGTACCTCAGAATGAAGTAATAGCTTAGATAGAATCTCAGTCACTGAGAAGAGCACAATTGTTTTTCAAGAGAATCAAATTCCTATGGCCCGGTTAAAAAACAGTGGAAAGAGCTGGTCTACAACTGATCAAATGTCTCTCTGCCTAACTTTGTATTCTTATTTTCACTTGTGATGCCCCAACATCTGCAGCTGAAGGGCAGATGGTCACAAGTACAGGGAAATAATATAGATGGAGTAGCCATTGAGATCTTCTCTATGAATTCATCTGTAAAGGTGAAGGAAGAAACCTTGCCACTGAATACAGTTTGCCTATTTGTTTCACGCAAAATATGATAATTGGAGGCTGGTCTTTTGTATCTCAAGGAAGAATTCTGGATTGGTTTGTTCTATGATGTGTTTTGTTGACTGTCCCTGGTATTCTCAAGAGTCTTCTCTGATATCCAAGTTCAAAAGCACTAATACTTTCCCTAATCTTGCTTCTTCCTACTCCATCTCCCACTCCCATTCTAAGTCCCAGAGAAAAGAATTGCCTCCACAATTCTTATTAGGTATAAACATATCACAGTATTGGGTATCTTTTCCGAGACCCTCATTGCCAAGACCCTCAGATCGTGTTTGTCTGTGATGTATTTCATGATGGTAGAAGATTTACTCATGATAGTTGATCTTGAAAAGAAGAAGGTATCTAGCACTTGGGTACTGTATCTTCACTGTCAGATCTGAGATGGATTTCCACCTTCTGTTATCATTGGTTTTGGTATCTGTTATAATTACATACTCTGGTCTTTATACTTAGCTTAGTCCCTTTACTTTCATTACTAGAGCTTGCAAATCATTTTTATATATCAGAGCAGTGACATCAGCATAATACATGTTACTGATGCTTTTTCTTCCAATTTTAAAATCATGTTTGTCTTTCAATTCAGCCACTCTCAAAATATATTCA